TTTACGAAGGGCTTGACGTTCTGGGCAACAGGATTCCTGAGGAGGAGAAGCTCGGCGTGCCTCACCATTTGCTTGGGCATGTCAAGAACCCCGATGAAGAATACACTGCCCGTGACTTCTGCTTCGAGGCCACATCGGTGATTGAGCGAATCATCAACTCCGGCAAGGTTCCGATCGTCGGAGGAGGGTCGAATTCCTTCATCGAAGCCCTGGTAGAGGACCCTGATTTCGAGTTCATGTCCAAATACGTTGGTTGCTTCATTTGGCTTGATGTTTCTCCAAATGTTTTGAACACTTTTGTCTCCAAACGAGTTGATCAAATGGTTAATCAAGGTATCTTAAATCCAAATTGTTAAAATTAAAATTAAAGATGCAGGCTTTGAGTTTAATATTAATAGTGATAAATTTTGGTTTGATGTACTAATATAATTATATATGAATGTAGGCCTAGTTGACGAGGTACGAGGAATCTTTGCTCCCGACAAAGATTACACAAAGGGTATCCGAAGAGCCATCGGAGTTCCTGAAATGGACAAGTACATGAGAGCTGAAACCAACAAAGACATGACTGTTGCTGAGAAGAAGGCGCTGCTTGAATCGGCCATTGCTGAAATCAAGACCAACACTATAGGCTTAATCCGTGATCAAGTAGGCAAAATCCAACGGCTGAGGGATGAGCTGGGGTGGCCCATCCACCGTATCGATCCCACCGCCGTGTTTCAGATCGAAGGTGACAAACAGGCTCAGGAAGCTGCATGGTTGAAGATGGTTTTCAACCCTAGCTTCAACATTCTGCAACAATACCTTAAAAACATATGATTAATTTGCTATTGTCTGATCCTTCAAAAAAAAAATAATAAATTCCATTTGGGAAATGGGAATGTCTTCAAAAGAATTAATTAATTAATTTTTTTAAAGAAATTCCCAATTTGATATTGAATGTTTAGTTTTTATTAGATACCCAAGTCCTTAGACATGAAAAATGAGTTTCAGTGTGCTCTTATCAATCATTTTTCAATGAATAAAACAAGTTAATTTAAATAATTTATCTCCATTATTTATATGATATTATTTTTTATTTCTTTGAAAGATTCGAATGGATGCCTGATTTATATTTGTGATTCTTTAATATTCCTTCGGTCATATTTTATGTGTTTGGTTCAATTATTGAAATTTAATTGAAGTTATTTTTAATTTAATTTTTCATAATATCAAGTTTAATACTAGCTAGTATATAACTTTAGATTTTTAAAACTACATTAAGAGTGCTATTAAACATTTTAAAATTATTTAAAATGCTAAAGAAAATAAGCAAAGAAGAAAAAGTTGATTTCACTAATGAAAAATAAACATGACAGGTAAAATGAGACATGAAATAATTGTGTAAAGAATTTAACATATAAAAATTTATTTTTAGACTACTGCATTGTAATAACTTTGTTTTTTGTTTATTAATAATGTGACATTCTGTGCAAGAAGATTTCTAAGCGGGAGAAGTTAGGCCTGTGACGATGTTATTATATCAATTTTTACTTCAAAATATTGGAAGGCTAATACGACCCTAAATACAGACACATTAGATGATATGAAATCAATGGTTTATATATCGAGCATGTGAGGGTTTCAATAAAAAAAAAAAAAAAACTAGGATATAAGATTAATAATACTTTTTTATCGATCAGTATCTGTTTAGAATAGCCCAAAGAAAGAAGATCGAGAGAGGGTGATGAGGTCATGAACAATTCAAGAGTACATGTTGATTAGCTTGGTAGAACAACTATCTCGATGGACCATATTAGCCAACAAGTTGAACTATTAATGAATTATAGCAATTGATCGATGAACTCCTTTGGAAAAGTTATTGAAAGTTGATAGGCATTTGTGGGGAAAATAGTCACATGTGACAATAAGAAAAGAATAATTTTTACGATACTGTTCACCAAAAGTCATCATTCTATTATTCTATCGTCATATATGTATTATTATTATTATTATTATTATTATTATTATTATTATTATTATTATTATTATTTGGTACGCAAATCATAGTATAAAATGCCACACTTGTTTGCCACAATGAGGTGTAACTTGGATAAATTTTGTAAAAGTTTTAAATTAAATAAAAAAAAAAAAGTTGAATAATACGACGTTGTATCAATAAACCATTTAATAATTTAACAAATTAGCATACTAAATTGAATTAATAAAATTAGACATAAAATAATAAATTAATTTATTACTAATTTGGCATATCTATTTATATTTACTTTCCATACTCGTCACTCATATAGAAATATATATACCCTCACTCGTACCCATTTCAAGGCGTGCCTCACCATCTACTTGGGAGAGCCGATCCCGACGTGGAATTCACCGCTCGCGACTTCTGCCTTCAAGCCACCGCTGCGACCGAGAAAATCAGCAACTCCACCAAAGTTCCAATCATCGTCGGCGGCTCCAGTTCATTCATCGAATTTTGGAAGTTAATTATTTAAAATTACACATCACTAGCACGGTAGTAGCACGCCAAATTTATTTTTATTTAAAAAAAAAAAAAAAAAAAAAAAAAAAGAGCATATTTGGTGTGTACGTGGTAAATTTTGGGTAAAAATCTTGAATTGAAGTGGATAGCCTTTGACTCTCTAGATAAATTAAAGCTCCTAAATTAGGTAAAAAAATCTTTGCCTCCCTAAATAAAATTTTGGGTTCACCTCAAATTGTACACATGATCAAATATATCTATATTTATGGAATATATCTAAATTTTGTAATGATTATAAATTAATTAAAAAGTTAACTAATACATTGTATAAATAAAAATTTAATGATATAACAAATTAATTAGAATATTAAATTGATTTTTTAAAAAGATTAAACCTACAATAATAAGTTAATTTATTACTAATTTGGCATATATGTTTATATTCACTTGCCACATTCATCACTCATATATAGAAATATATATACCCATCACCCATACCCCTATCTCTATATCATTTAGGTACTCTTGCATGTATTTCAGAGATTTTTAACGTCAGTAATATTTTTTAAGAGTATATCATATATTGTACAAAGGTCATTTATGCATGCATGCTTGCTTATTATAAAAATGCTAGGTTTTTATAAAAATTAAAGCCTCTTACAAAATGGCAAAAGTGACATTTTATATCAACATATACAAACAAAAAATATATATGACACGACATAATGGAATGATAGCGTTTGGTAGTAGTAACGTCATTCCTTAATTTCACTTTGCCCCACACAACTTATTTTTAGAATACAGCATTGATCCAAAAAAAAAAAAAGAATACGGCATTGTATTTTTTTTTTTTTATAATTTATTAGTAATACGTAATGTTCTGGGCAAGAACATTTATAAGCGGGGGGAAATTAGTCATGTGACAATGAAGAAAGAATGACTTTACGTTATCGTCACCAAAAGTCATCATTCTATTATTGTCTTGTCATACAGTTTTTTTTAGATTCAAGAAGAGGGATCAGATAAACCAGAAAGGAATCACTTGTCTAGTCATATATTTATTATTATTATTATTATTATTATTATTATTATTATTTGGTATATATGCAAATCATAGTATAAAATGCAACTCTTATTTGCCATTTTGAGAGGGAATTTTGGCCATTTTTCGTATGCAAAAGAAAGCTAAAACTTTCTTCTTCTTCTTCTCTTCTATTTCTCCCTTCACGGCAAATTATATTGGCAATAGCAAATTAAAGGCCAAAAATTGAGGGGAAAGGTTAATTCAGCCATATATCTTAGTATCTTACGTACCAAAGATAATTATTTTCATGAAAAATAAAAGATCTAATTCTGTAATATTCTTTCTCCATTTTCTCAATACATTCAAGGGCGGCTTAGCTCAATTATATTATTTATGCTAAATTATGTTTATCACGCAATTATACATCATGGACTAGTTGCAAAGTAGATCTTAAACCAAACCAAAATTGTTTTATATTAAGTAATTAACGATTTAAGTTGTTAAGATTAGTACATCATCAACAACACTCTCTTGATTGAGCCTATTACACATGGTACATGACTTCTAAGATATTATACAGATGTAGTGTGTACTTAATATAAACCTTTAAATGGTAATGGCAAGTTTTCCTCGTAAGAAAAAAAAAAAAGAAAAAAAAAAGTTGTTGGGTCTCTTAGATAAAGCTCCTTAATTAGTTAAAAATCTTTGGCCCTATATACATGTTTGGGTTCACATTCGAGCAGTCATTAACGTGCAATCCAACTATCAACTTAAACTTTTAGTTGAGATAGAACACATGCTTTAATTTGGTATCAACCCGACGCTCAATAGTTGCACGGTCAACATGGTCATTACAAAGTGCACGACCCAACCACGCAAGGCGCACGTCACTCGCTCAGTCATTGCCCAATGTCATTGGACCTAGCTAGTAGTATAAATATTTTTATTTTATTTTATTTTATTTAGTCAAATTAAAAACACATTCTTTTCTCTTACAAAACACACCTAGCTTGTATTAACAGATCGAGTTATTCGTTCCTACTTGAAGAATTATTAGCTAGCTAGGTTGGCACGGAATACGCACGTAAGTTAATGACGTAATGTAGAGACAAATCTATCTCGCCGGAAAGTATGGCGGTACCGACAACGTTGAACAAAGTGTATATGGTGGAAAAAAGGCAGGCTTAGTAATTTAATTTCCTGGAAAATAGGGCAGAAATCATTACTTCACTCGCAAGTAACTAACTTGCAAAGTCCTCATCCACCAAATTCAGTATAAATATATATGCGATTTAACCCCCACTTAGCAGCAACCAATTTCATAGCTCAGCTCGCTACTTTAATTTGTTGCTTAATTAATTTCAAACACGTAAGTTACATTAATTCTCGCCCTCTTCTTCATTTCGCTTTCATTCTGATTCTGCCTGGAAAATGAGAACACCATCGGGAAAATGACGTTAATTATTTTTTAAAATCATTTTCCTGTCTTTAAGAAAACCAACTGGCTACCTTGATGGATATGATGTTGCGTTTTAATCGTGTATTTTGTCAATGGCGGTACGGCTCTCGATGGAGAAAGCTTGGGACTCCTAAATTAGGAAAGTGAAAGAGAAATGGATCATCACTTCTTGCGGCTTTAGCCATGTTTTTAGCTTCTTGAAACTCATGCGTGCAAGCTATTCTTTCGGTTTTGTATAATCTGTGTTCTGTGTGTATGAAACTTTTCTATAAATCGTCAGTCTTTCTGCTTCACGGTATTCCCTGTTCTTACAACTTTGTTCAATCATTGCAGTTCTAGCTAGCTTTCGTATTTGGTATAAACTAATCAAGAATCAATCCTTTTAGTAGATGTATTTGATTTGATCATATATATATATATGACATCTGATCTTGTTTTCTAGGTTGTGTGAAGATCATGGGAGGGCACATGAGCAAAAAATCCGGGGAGACTTCGAACGATCTGCAGTGCAGAACAGATCTGATCAGTTCGTATGAAGCAGCCTGCGAGCTTGATGCGGATTTGCAGACATTTGATTCGACATTGCAGGCGAGAACGAATCATGTGATTAGTACATTGGCTGTGGGGGTTGAGGTTAGAGCATTGTCGTTTGATTCGTTGAAGGAGGTGACAGGATGTTTGCTGGATATGAACAAGGAGGTGGTGAAAGTGATCCTGGAGTGCAAGAAGGACATATGGAGGAACCACGAGCTTTTTGAGCTGGTGGAGGAGTACTTTGAGAACAGCCTCAAGAGTCTGGACTTCTGCGCCGCCTTAGACAAGTGTCTGAAGCGAGCACGCGAGAGCCAGCTCTTGATTCACCTCGCGCTAAAGGAGTTCGAGGAGGAGAGTGGAGGAATTGATGGGAGCAATAACAAGTATGAAAGGACTCTGGAGGAGCTGAAGGGGTTCAGGGCTTCTGGGAACCCTTTCACAGAGGAGTTCTTCCAGATTTTCCAATCTGTGTATGTGCAGCAAGCCCTGATGCTTGAGAAATTGCAGTCAAGGAAGAACAAGCTGGACAAGAAGCTCAGGTACATCCTGTTGAGACTTAGTCTATTGTTAGTTTGTTTTGGCCTAGTATTTTGCTGTAACTGGTTTCCTGCTGGACAGGTACATCCATGCCTGGAGAAAGGTCTCCAGCGTGATGTTTGCCGCCACCCTGGCCGCTGTTCTCATATGCTCAGTGGTGACTGCCGCCATTGCCTCCCCAGCCGTTGCAGGCGCACTGGCAGCCGCCACTGCCATCCCCATCGGCTCGATGGGGAAATGGATCGATTCCCTGCTCAAGAACTATGAGGATGCCATCAAAGGACACAAGGAAATCATCAGCTCTATGCAAGTTGGGACCTATATTACCATCAAAGATTTGGACACCATCAAGGTCCTAGCTGATAGGTTGGAACTCGAGATCGAATCCCTCCTGAACACCACCAGTTTCGCCATTAATGAAGCTGCTGTGAAGGTTGGCATCGAAGAGATCAGGAAGAAACTGGATTTGTTCATGAAGAATGTTGAAGATTTAGGTGTTCAAGCTGACAATTGCAGCAGGGACATACGGAGGGCTAGGACAGTTATACTGCAGCGAATCATCAAACACCCCAACCATTAAGGAACAAGGATGGGAATATGAGACTGTTTTGCAGAGAACCATCAAGGAATAAGGATCATCACCATTATATATACTACCTAGTACTCTGTTTTTTTACCTCAAATAAGGATATTATACTTGTCCATTGCAATTGGCATTAAAGAACTCAAGTGTTTATTGTAATTTTTATATCATATATGTTTCGAACACCACCATACCTAAGCAAGCTATTATTTCAAACACCAATCTGCGTCTGTGGTATATGTGTCTTATGTACTTCAGCCACAAATTGTCCCTTGAATTCAGACGCAGATGACTCATTCTGTACTAGTGTGATTTTAAACTTTTAAAGTTCAATTTAAACAAAGATTCTAAATAGAAAAAATGAGGCTATAGTAAGTATGATATTACTCGATACAGAATAACACTTCTCTATGCAATTGATAAACAAGCTAAGCATCAAGCAAGATAATATTGCAGATGCAATCTTTTGCATTACAAGAATGTTTCCGTGAGGAGATTAATAGTTCGATCTTTCTCCATTTTTGAGTTGGTACACTAAGGTTTTCATAAACATACAATTGGGGAAGGCCGGAAGTTGAAATATGTTGCTGTCGCTAGTAATGCACAGGCAGTGGTAACGTATATTTTGAACCAAACAGAGGCAAAGAGGGTGAGAAATGTACACGCACTGGTCAAGAAAAAAACAAACGCAAAGTTTACCAGACATTTCCATGTAGACAGTTCACCTTCTATTCCTTCGTGAGGAAAATGGCCTTGGGAATAGAAATCACGGAGCAACTGGTCCTTGCGGGAGAATGTATCCATCAACCATGAAGCAGCCTCGTTTTCAGAGTGTGGGATGTCAGTAAGAGAAATACGTCGAATGTGAATGTGAACTTCAGCTGGGTCAACCCCAAAGGCATTGTCCAAGAAGGACGGACAGTTATGTTTGTATCCAATAGTGAGGTCATAGACTGCATTGTTTAAAGAAAAACAAACAAGCGGATTATCACATGAAAGGAAGAAAAAATGGAAAGAAAAGCTACATCTGATATGGAAAAGAAAATCTTGGCTAAATTTCCCGTTCATTAAACTCTTGTCAAGTCAGATTATTACTACATTCCAAATATCTAGGCTTGCCAAAAGGGTCAAATTCAAGACGATTAATAGGCAAAAAACTTGACAAATGCTCTAGAGATCAGATATCCAGAGGAGAAAAGCCCACTTTGCATAACATATAACATTTGCAGCAGTTAACATATCTCTCTCAATGATTATAAGGTCGGGAAAATTGATGATCAGCTTTTATGGTAAGCATTTATGAAAGCTAGGGGAAACTAATGAGAAGGGAGTTGAATGTTCTACAATGAAATGCAAAAACCAAGGTTAAATAATTTCTTCACTAAACACAGCTTTTCAGAGTCATCCCATTACAATGATTATTAATCTTTACCTCCATGGTGAATACAAGTAATAGCATAGTCTCATTTACTGCATATCTTCACCTTAAGGGTGCAAAACAAAAGTATTGGGAAAAAAATGTATGCAGTAAACCAACAAATGAGAGAAAAGTTACCAGCATCCAAGGAACTTCTCAACTCCTCTAAGCAAGCACAAAATCCTTTTGTTTTTGGAAGCAGCACATGCTTCAGAATCGGTAATCCATTTTCAGAAGCATATTTTTGACTGCGTATGCACTTTTGTTCTCTGCAAAGATACGAGTAACTTTGTAACAAATTATGAGCATATAACATTTCAGAAAGCACAAACTACCTTAGGGACAGGAGTCTAGTAAACTGTTATGCAAAAAGTAAAATTAGGATAATTTTAACCTGTGTATTGTATACCAAGTATCATATTTATCTAATTTTAAAATGGAAGACTAAAAGATACAACTTAAATAAGAAGCTTCGAATATAGAGAAAGAGGTAAGATCTAGTACGTGAAATCAGTGCCTTCTGGAAAAACAGCAAGCCAAAGTGGATCTTTAGGGTCTGTGTAGGAAGAGAGCATCCTGCGCAGCTTTGATTCATCAGCCTCCCATTTCCTCTCTACTGGTATGAACTCCATGACATGAAAAACCCAACCAAACACGGGCAATTTCATTAAACTGCTCTTGAGTATATACCTTATGGAACCAACACATCCCTTCCGTAACGCAAGGTCCCACAGATACATCCAATCAACCTCTGTTCTATGGTTTGCAATAAGCAACACTCGCTCCCTATTAGGGACATAATCTCCAGAGAAAACAACTTTAGTCTTGTTTATCTTTTCGAATAAAAATGGCCACAGAGCTATCCAACATCCAAAAAAGAAGGCTGTTGTGGTTCTGCTGTAGTGAACACTGAAAAACCTTAAGCCCATAACCGCCCAAAAACCACAAAATACTAACAACATAAATGCCGTCAAAATTAACATGACCAAACATAAAACACCCCTGACCGCCTTAAACGGGGTAAGAGGTTGATGCCTTGGTCCATTTCTCAAAGTGCAAGGTGATTGGACATCCATTAACTTTAGGCTGTTGATACCTTCCTCCAAGGGAATTATATGTACCTTCAGATCCAACCAAGCCCAAGCACCAAAATAATCCCACTAAAACCAGTATCAGAATGTGTAGATTTTCAGTTTTCCATGTTTAAAAATCCAACATAAAACATACATGGGCAATATCCAAACAGGATCATCAGGCAAAGCAAAGAACTTTTATCGAACCTGCACAAAGAGGGATCACAGTCAAATATTGCTTCCACTTGAGGCATTATGAGGAGAACACTTCATACACCACACACACACATATATATAGCAACTACTTTGAGTATTAAATAGCAATCCGTCTCAATCACACGCACAGCAGTTTTTTTTTTTTTGAGAGGCACGCACAGCAGTTAATTAGCAACCGGAAGCAAAATATAAATGCTGCAATCATATAATGCATCTAAATAATATAAATACTATTGAAAAAGAGGCTTTCATGAAAAAAAAAAAAATCAAAATCAAACTTTGGAGCTTCTTGCAAAAGGAAATTTTTTTTTGTCTTTTATCTAACTTTGAAGGCCTCCACCTCTAAGTTCTAACAAGAGCCAATAAGAGGTGGCCATACAATCACAGAGACAGTATAAGACCACAACTTCCAACAGTTTTCTCAACATATCATTTCTAATTCATAAATAAACATTCTAGGTTAAAAACGTGACCAATATTTTCTCGTCCTACATCTGCCGTCATGGATTTTCCTCCATGGCCGAACCAACAGCAATTGATTAATTCATCTGCATTCAGCGATCTGAAATCCGCAATTGATTAATTCATCTGCATTCAGCGATCTGAAAACGATAATGAAAAACACCAGAGATTTTACCTTGGAGTTGGAGTTGGCGAAATTGATAGCTTCGTTTTGAGTGATAATGGTGGAAATTCCTACGCAAAGGAGTGAAGCAACTGATAGAAACCTTTGGAATTTGGAATATCAAAAAAGCACACGAGACATTTCACTATTTACTATTTGTGCCATCAAGCGTTAATAATGCTCCATAATCACTAATCAATACATGTGTTCTGATAATATTTTTTCCACTTTTTAAAAATAAGCTATAGCTTAAAATAAAAGTTTATTTTGAAACACTATTAAGGTAGCGTTTTAAAAATAAGCTAGTAACTTTTTAACATTTTTTTATCTTTATTATTATTATTTTAAATAAATGATATTATTTATCCTTTTCAATTAAAATTCTTTTGGCCTTTTTTCTTTTTCTATTTAATTTTAGAAAAAAGATATTTTATTTTCAATTATAAACTTTATTGGACTACTTGGATGGTTACAAAATGAGTCTTTGAGGTTATTTATACTTATTTCACCTCATCAATAGACGGTGGAGATCTACTTGATCGTATGACTATGATTATATCTCTAAAATCAACCTTAAAATTCTATACAATCATACGAGTTATATAATGTTTTATAAGATTCTATAAATTTTTACATTTCAAAATGTTAATTTTTAATATGTAAACAATCCTATTTAAAATTTAAAACTATTTATATTGTATGAAGATGTTATTTTTAATCTTTTTACATTTATCAACATATCAAAAAGCTTATTTTTACCAAACAATAGCTAGTTTAACAACTCTTCATTTTTTAGCTTATAGCTTAAACTTTTCAGCTTTCACTTACTTTTCATCTAGATTTGCCAAACATAGTCATGGTATCATTAGTGATAGCATTTCCAATCACATCAAAACCAACTTTTTTGTTTTTGTTTTTGGAATATTCTAAGGGGGTGTTTGGTAAAAGACTGTCAGTTGACTAGTTGATAACATTAGCTGATTGTAGAAAAATGTTTGGTAAATTAGTTGTTAGCTGTTAGCTGAATTCATACAAAATGACTTTCTCAAAAAGCTTATTGATTTGGAATTTTAGCATTCTGGAACAAAAATTGTTACCAAAAGCTAATTAATCAAACACTTATATTGATTGTTTAACAGAGTCAAACAGTTAATAATGGTCAATTAAGCTAAAATTGGCTGATAAGCTAACTATTTTATCAAACATGACCTAAATGAAACATTTTGCATTAGAAAAATTATGTGTTTATATATATTTTTTAAATTATAATTGGGTTAATCTTAGCTAAATATGTCATGTTGTTAGTTTAGTAGCCACAAAGTTTTAATTCTTTTATTGAATTGAGCTTGTTAATTACAGAGTATATGTAACTTAAATTAATTTATCTCATTATAATTTTTTGTCGGTTAGAATCACAAAGTTGAGAAAATTAAAAGGCAAATGCAAATGAATTTGCATTTAGATAACTTGAAGTCACTCCTTAGGTGTAGTCGTAGATTAATTCATGAAGTGACACAAATCTCTTCTAGTGCCTAATAATTCGTATAGAAATCTATGATTAGACCAAAAAAAAAAAAAAAAGGTGATTCCAAATAAAATAGTATAAGTTCAATTCACACTCTATTCATACTAAAAAACAAATGGAAAAGAACACAATATGAAGATAAATCACATAAGTAAGCAGAATGATATATATAACTTCATAAACTCTTTGTTTGGGCTGTTTGGGGTCATAGTTTGACAGTTTTGCACACGAAATGGTGAAATGATAGCCCAAAGTGCAATGGATATGGAAGCCCGCTAGTAGGTCTATCTATTGATGTGAGACCAACCAACTTTCTGGTCGGATTTTCGAGTTGGGGCTTGGGCGTTGCGTCCCTAAAGGCATGCA